GTGTAGCTTTGGAGCCTATCCTGGAACTAGTCCTTGTAGACCAGGCTGGCCTCAAACTCACAGAGATCCGCCTGCCTCTGCCTGCTAAGTGCTGGGATTAAAAGCGTGCGCCACCAACGCCCGGCTCTTATTGTATTATTGTATATAGTTTTTCTTACATTAGTTATAGCCTTCTGTATATATTGGACAAAAAGGGGGAATTGTGATATTTATGATTTAATAAAGCCAGCCACAGCCACACTGGTTAGCAGTAGCAGCTAGGCAATGGTGGCACACACCTTTAACTCCAGGATTCAGGAGACAGATAGATGGATCTCTGAGTTCAAGGCCACCCTGGCTTACACAGGAGTGAAGAATAACAGAGCTCACGCCTTTGATCTCAGCACTTGGGATCACACACCTTTAATCCCAGCATTAGGGAGGTGGAGACAGGAGGACATGGCTGGGTGGAGAAAGGAGTAGGAGGGGGAGGGGAAGGGGGGAATTCAGAGCTTTTGCCTCTAAGGATTTTCATGGAAACAGGACTGTCATTTCAGCTGAGTAGAGAGATGTGAGATCTACTGGTTTGGCTGCTTTGCTTCTCTGATCTTCGGCTTGAAGCTTAAACCCCAATATCAGTCTCTGGGTCATTTATTTTTCATGTTACACTCTTCTGCCTTCCATGGGTGCCCACACACTTATGCATAAATGTAAATTCATATACATAGATTAAAAATAAATCTTTTTAAACAATAGTTTGGAGCTGGTGAGGTGGTTCATTGGGTAAAGGCACTTTCTACCAAGCCTGATTACCCGAGTTCAGTCCCCAGGACCTCCATGGTGAAAGGAGAACACTTGACTTGTACAAGTTGCCCTCTATCCTCCACCTGTACCCCATGGCACATGTATACATAGAGAATAAATAAATGTAGATTTTGGAATAGTTTGATTGAGATAGGAGGCATCATGGCTTACTATATGATGAGCCCTGAAAACATTTTAATTGCTAGAAACCCATCTCATCTCTGTTTTTCCTTCTAGGAAACCCCAGCTTCTCCAAGGAGTCTATGCCATGGGCTTCAATCGACCATCCAAGATCCAGGAGAATGCGTTGCCCATGATGCTTGCTGAACCGTGAGTATAGACCCAGCTCTTCATAGCTGATTTAACTGTTTCACAAATGGTTTTATTGTTTCTGGGACAGCCTGTCTCAGGAAAAGAGCTTTAGAAGTGCAAGGAGAATTGCATGGATGTCAGCACTTTTTCTTTTTGGGGGGTTTGTTTGTTTGTTTGTTTGTTTGCTCATCTTTAGTTTGGTTTTTCAATACAGGGTTTCTCTGTATCCTAGACTGTCCTGGAATTCACTCTATAGACCAGGCTTACCTCAAACTCATGAGATCCAAGGCCTGACCCAGCCTCCTGATTACTGGGTATTAAAGGTGTGAGCCGACACTACCTGGCTCAAATTTCTTTCTTTTTTTTTTTTATATTTATTATGTATATAGTATTCTGCCTACATGTCAGAAGGCATCCTACTATAGATAGAACCACCATGTGGATGGATAGAACCACTGAGGACCTGGAAGAGCAGCCAGTGCTCTTAACCACTGAGCCATCTCTCCAGCCCCTCAAATTTCCTTTTTATATAAATATATTTTTTAAGATTTATTTTTAGGTGCTGGAGAGATGACTCAGTGGTTGTGAATACTGGCTACTCTTTCACAGGACCAGAGCTCAATACCCAGCACTCACATGGCTACTGACAACTGTCTGTTACTCCAGTTCCAGGTGATCTGACACCCTTATGCATATAGGCAAAACAGTACACTGAATACAAAAATAGTAAGTCATTTTTTTCTAAAAGGTTTGTTTTTAATTATATATATAGATGTATATATGTGTCTGTGTGTGGGTATGTGCATGTGTGCACACAGAGTCTAGAAGTGGGCATTGGATCTCTTGGATCTGGAGTTACAGGTGGTTGTGAGCCCTACCCTACATAGATACTGGGAACTGAACTTAGGTCCTATGAAAGAGCAGGAAGGTCTCTTAAACACTGAGCCAGCTCTTCATCTCTATGCACTTAGTTTTTGTTTTTTATAATTTTTTTCTTATTTTTTATTTAAATTAGAAACAATCAACTCCTTTAGTCCCAGCACTCGGGAGGCAGAGGCAGGTGGATCTCTTTGAGTTTGAGGCCAGCCTGATCTACAAAGCAAGCACCAGGATAGGCTCCAAAGCTACACAGAGAAACCCTGTCTCAAAAAAGGAAAAAAAAAAAAAAATTTTAGACCAGTGGTTCTTAACCTTCCTAATGCTGTAACCCTATAATTCCTCATGTGTGTGACCCCCAACCATAAAATCTTTGCTACTTCTTTTTTGGTTTTTCGAGACAGGGTTTCTCTGTGTAGCTTTGGAACCTATTCTGGCACTTGCTCTGGAGACCAGGCTGGCCTCGAACTCACAGAGATCCACCTGCCTCTGCTTCCCGAGTGGTGGGATTAAAGGCATGCGCCACCAACGCCCAGCCTTTCTTTGCTACTTCTTAACTAATTTTGCCACTGTTATGAATGGTAATGTAAATATCTGTTTTTTTCCAATGGTTTTAGATGACCCCTATGAAAGAGCTATTCAACCCCCAAAGGGCCTCATCCCAGAGGTTGAGAACTGATGTTTTAGACAATTATAAAATTTTATGTTTAAAATATTTTTCTTATGTTTTAGATAATATTTTGGAGCTGGATATCTGGTGGATCACACCTATAATTCTAGCCTTTGAGACGCTGATGTAGGGAGCTTTTGATATTAAGACCAGAGTGGACTACAGTGATATATTGTCTCAAAATTAATTAAATAAATGAATAAGTAAATCCAGAAATAATATTTGAAAATTACTTTGGAGTTTGGAATGTACCTCAGTGGTAGACCAATTCCTTGGCATTCTTTTTATTTATTCTATTTATTCATTCATTCATTTTGGTTTTGTTGAGACAGGGTTTGACTATGTAGTATTGACCTACCTGGAGCTGGTTGTGTAGACCAGGCTGGCCTCAAGCTCTGCCGAGTGCTGGGGTTAAAGGTGTGTACTAACACTCCTGGCCCTTGCTTGGCATTCTTGATGACCTAGGTTTAATCTCTGCCTTTTCAAAAACAAACAAAAAAAATTGGTTCAAAAACTGTTTTGAGGAGCTGAAGAGATAACTCAGCAGTGTAGGAGCACTTGTTCAATTCCTAGCAACCGCACTGTGGTTCACAACCATGTATATAACTAGTCCCAGAGGATCTGATGCCCTCTACTGGTCCTCAAGGGCACCAGGCATACAAGTGGTGCACAGACATATACATATGTGAAACACCCATACATAAATAATTTTTTAAAAATACTACTTTGAAATTTTTGAGCTTCATAACAAAAGGTATACAGAAAGATACCAGTAATCTCTCTCTAGCTTTAGAATGTAAGATATAACATTAGTACAGCTGCATGTGGGATCTCCCTTAAACCCTCCTTCCCACCCCTTGCCTACCTGCTCTGAAGCAAATCCCATCTGAGATGGGTTATTATCTCCTTGGGTGTTTTGTACTTTCGCTATGTATATAGTTATCTAAGGGCAACTTGCATATTTGTAAAGCTTAAACAAATGATACTGTATTTTGTATAATTTTTTTTTAGCTCAACTTCTTTTTTTAATGACAAAACACCATGGTATTGAGCCAGGTGAAATAGATTGTAAAGGTTCCTTCTAAAACATCCATTAGAGCTAATTATGGACTCAGTATTCAGAAGTAGAATCATGGAACGTCTGTTACTCCAGCCTCCTGGGCTACATAATAAGACCCTGAAAAAGGGAAGGAAAATGTACCGCCTAGCTAGTATTTTACATTATCTTTAAGGATGGGAAGCGAGACCATTCAAAAAGAGCTGAAATTTGGGGACATGTTATATAGCTAAGCAGAAAACATCACGGGGACTTTGGTGGCCCAGCTCTTACTCTGCATTCTTGATCTCCCTGGGACATTTGGGGCATAAAATTAGGACACTGCAGAGTCTGGAATGAGAGTTTTGTTGGTATAAATCTATCTAAATAATCATTTCCTTTTATTGGGGGTAGGTTGGTGTTTTCCAGACAGGGTTTCTCTGTAGCTTTGGGGAAAAAAAAAAAAAGGAATATAGCTCAGTGGCAGATTGCTTGCATAGCATGTGCCAGGGCACAGGTTCAATTCTCAGCATTCCAAATGAAATAATGTATTAAAGTTAATTTCTATTCAATAGTGCAGAAACATAGATAATATAAAGAAACTTAAGTGGAGAGAGATCATACTATCTAGGAAACATTTTGAAATTTTTGTTTTCTTTTTTTGAGACAGGATTTCTGTAGACCAGGCTGACCTAGAACTCACAGATTTAATCTGCCTGCCAAGTGCTGGGATTAAAGGGGTGCACTAGCACCGCCTGGCAGATGTTTGATTATGTTTTTTGCTTTTCTAAAGATTTGTTTATTTATTATATGCACAGTATTCTGCCTACATACCAGAAGAGAGCACCATATCTCATAGATGGTTGTGAGGCACCATGTAGTTGCTGGGAATTGAATTCAGGATTAACCTCTGAGCCATCTCTCCAGCCCTAGATGTTTGATTATGTTTAACCAATATTAACTTTTTTCCGCCTAGCAGAACTTACTATGGAGTTTGCTCTTGAACTCACAGTAATCTGCCTGTTTCTGACTCCTAAGGGCTGGGGTTAAAAGCATGGATCACCACCTCTTCCTCCAATATTAAATTATTTCTGTTCTTTGTCAATGCAGCCCACAGAACCTGATTGCCCAGTCACAGTCTGGTACTGGGAAAACAGCCGCCTTTGTTTTAGCTATGCTCAGCAGAGTGGAACCAGCAGACAGATACCCTCAGGTGAGCATTAGAAGCCTGGGAGCTCTGGCTTGCCTGCCCTGAGACAGTGTAGTGCCAGCTGATGAGGTATGACTAACCTTGGTCTTTGGCTCCCACAGAGCAGGTTAAATGCTTCAGTCCTTAACGGGGTAGAATTCTTTTGGAGACAGCAGCTTTAAGCAGTGGTTTCTTAAGGCTTCTACCAATACTGAAACAGGGCTCCTACTAGGGCAGGTTTCCCTACTGAAGGCATTCATTCCACAGGTGAGAGGTGGGCCTGCTTAAGGAGGAGGTCCCCTGCACTATTTCAAAAGATAACAGCATCAGTGTGCTTGTGGTCTTATACCTGTTGTCTGTTACTAAACTCACTGATTTCTCTGCCAGTGTTTGTGCCTGTCCCCAACATATGAACTGGCACTTCAAACAGGAAAGGTGATTGAGCAGATGGGCAAATTCCATCCAGACCTGAAGCTCGCTTATGCTGTTCGAGGCAATAAATGTGAGTATATGGGGTGAGACCTGAAAATAGTGTCAGTTTCAACTTGAGCTAGCTGAAGTTTCAGAGAAGTGTCTGTCTGTCTGTCTCTCTGTCTGTGCGTCTGTGCGTGTGTTTGCAGATTTGTCCTTTGGAAAACTAGCTATACATAATAGAATGTCTATAGGACACATACCGAAAGCAGAACAGAGTCTGTGCCAGGATCCTTGACTCAGAGCCACCAGTTTAGGAGGAAAAAAGTGAACTGCCTGGGAAGTGGATGATAAATAGTGTTAAAGAAGAGCTGCCAGGTATTAAATTTAGGAGATGCTGGAGAGAGGGCTCAGAAGTATTAGATAGAGCACTTGTTCTTTCAGAGGACCCACATGGGGCAGCTAACGTGTCTGTTCTTTGAAGGCACCAGGCATACCCCGCCCCCCAATTCTAATAAAAAAATTTTTTTCAAAGTTTTCAGGAGAAAGTAGTAACTTGTACATTGTAACATGAAAATTAAAAGCTCAGAGACAGATATTAGGGCTCAAGCTGAAGATTAGAGAAGCAAAGCAGCTGGCCACTAGCTCTTACCTCTACCTCAAGCTGAAAGGGCTGTCCTGTCCTCAGCGTGGCTGGAGAATAATTCCCTGAGACTGAATACTGAATGGCCGCTCCTATCTTATATACTTCTCTAGAGTGATTAAAGGCATAGGGCCTCAAGTGCTAAGGTCTCCTTTGTGTGAGCTGTTTCTCTTTTAGACTGATTCACTCTAATGTAACTTTGGGTGGCCTTGAACTCACAGAAATCCATCTACATTTGTCTCCTGAGTCCTGTGATTAAAGGTATGTACCACCACTGCCCAGCTTCTAGAACCAAGTAGCTTTGCATTTTGATCCTTCAGGCAATCTTTATTAAATAATAAATACTATATCACCACACACATTTTGTTTCTAAAATGCACTGTTACAGGGATTGTCCTACTTCACAGTTGAAGAGAGCAAGGCTTAAGGATGGCATTCATGTGTGTTTTATTTATGCAGTGGCATAATACATTTATGCATGTATTATGGTAGCCACTGTGTGTTTAGGTCAGAGAATAACTTGTGGGAGCCAGTTTTTTTCTTCCACCATGTGGTTCCCAGGATTGAATTTAGTTCTTTAGGCCTGATGGGTACCTTTACATGCAAAGCCATCTTATCAGCTTCCATATATGTTTTGAAATCTAGAGTTGATTTGTTCTGACAGTTCTGAGAGATGTATAAGGCTTTTATTTCGAGAACTGACTTTCCTTTGGAAAACCTGAAGAAAATATGTCTTTTTCACAGTGGACAGAGGTCAGAAGGTCAGTGAGCAGATTGTCATTGGCACCCCCGGGACCGTCCTGGACTGGTGCTCCAAGCTGAAGTTCATTGACCCCAAGAAGATCAAGGTGTTTGTTCTGGACGAGGCTGACGTGATGATAGCAACTCAGGGCCACCAAGACCAGAGCATCCGCATCCAGAGGTAGGAATTGGAGCCAGGAGGAACTGCCAAAGCCTCCTCTTGCATCTTTGGGTTCTTGGCTCTGGTCTATGCAGCAGTATTTGTGTGATGAGCCATTTCCACATGCTCTCACCGTGCTCTCAGCCTGGGCTGAAAAGGGAGAGCTGGAACCCTCACTCAGCCCAGTGCCACACTGGGTCTGCTCCTCCCTCCCCTGGATGCTCTGTATCCCACTCAGCTTGCTGGGGCTGCAGCTCACCGAGGCTGCAGAGGCTGGGCTTGTGTTCTTTCTGACCAAACCATTGGAGTCCTGCAAAGTGCCTGGGCCTCCACTTGCAGGATGCTGCCCAGAAACTGCCAGATGCTGCTCTTCTCTGCCACCTTTGAAGACTCAGTGTGGAAGTTTGCCCAGAAGGTGGTCCCAGACCCCAACATCATCAAACTTAAGCGTGAAGAGGAGACTTTGGACACCATCAAACAGTATTATGTCCTTTGCAATAACAGAGAGGAGAAGTTCCAGGCCCTGTGCAACCTGTATGGGGCCATCACCATCGCCCAAGCCATGATCTTCTGCCATGTGAGTAGCTGCTGCAGGCCTGCAGGGGTGCACTGCCCTCCTCCTTCAGCCTCACTTCCCACACTGCATCTTCTCTTAGTACAATTCTTACTGCTCTGATTTTTTTAAATTTAGTTTTGTTTTTTCAAGACAGGTTTTCTCTCTGTGTGGACCTGGCTGTAATCCTAGAACAGGCTCTGTAGACCAGATTGGCCTCAAATTCAGAGAGTCACCTGCCTCTGCCTCCCAATTGCTGGGATTGAATTTGCAATGTATTCTCTTAACTACTGAGCCATCTCTTCAGCCTCGTATTGCTTTATGTTATGTCAAACCTGAGGCAGTCAGGAGTGTGTATTGCATTCACTAGTCCTGTGGCTTGAGACTTCCTTCACTCAGAGCCATCCCCCTCATGTCTCTGACGTAGCATGTCTGACATGTCAGACTCTTGACATGTCCTTTCAGGACAAGGACAACTCAAAGACTGATTTCCCTTACCCCTCTTGTGATCCATGCAGATGTGTTTTGGTTTTGAGATAAGGTCTTACTATATAGTTCAGGCTGTCCTTCAACTTCAGGTATTTCTGCATCAGCGTTAAGTGTTTTTTTGTTTTTTTGTTTTTTTTTAATTTTGTGTGTGTGTACATGCCACAACATGTCAGGATATCTGGGAAGTTGGAGTCTCTGGACTCAAATTCCGATCATCAGGCTGAGCACCGAGTATCTTTGCCCACTGAACCATTTCTCCAGACACAAGTGTATTTTTATTTATTTATTTATTTATTTATTTATTTATTTATTTATTTTTCGAGACAGGGTTCCTTTGTGGCTTTGGAGGCTGTCCTGGAATTAGCTCTTGTAGACCAGGCTGGTCTCAAACTCACAGAGATCCACCTGCCTCTGCCTCCCGAGTGCTGGGATTAAAGGCGTGAGCCACCAACAGCCGGCTACAAGTGTATTTTTATAGTGATAACATTGTAAAATTGTTTCCCAGGTGACATTTTTTGCATGTTATTGTACTGTTAGATTGAAGTTTTAGCATATGTAATGTTTACCTGGTAAGTTTCAGATAGTCTTCTAGGTCCACAATAGTCTCTGTAGACACTAATATTTCTTAAATGTTTGGTTTTTGTTTGTTTGTTTGTTTTTGTTTTGTTGTTTTGATTTTGGTTTTGTTTCTTTTTCACAGACCCGCAAAACAGCTAGCTGGCTGGCAGCAGAGCTCTCCAAAGAGGGCCACCAGGTGGCTCTGCTGAGTGGAGAAATGATGGTGGAACAGAGGGCAGCTGTTATTGAGCGCTTCCGGGAAGGCAAAGAGAAGGTCCTGGTGACCACCAACGTGTGTGCCCGTGGTGAGCAGACACTGGCCCCGTTCACCAGGCTTGGGGTCCCAGGCCCTGTGAGCAAGAGTATTGCTTGTATCCCTGGTCTCACAGAGGTGGGAGTGTTTTAGGGACATTGCTTTGTGGGAGACTAATTCCCGTTGGGCAGTAAGAAACACTTGGAAGAAGCCAAAGCCAGCAGTCCTGCCTTGGTGGGAAGACACTCAGGCTTCCAGACACTCGCTTTCTTTCTTCTGCCAGAGTTCTGTGCTTCTGCCCAAGCTATAGTCCTATAGGTGTCCTCTTTAGTGCCCACAGCCCAGATGTGACCTGCCTCCAGATGTGACCATGTCTCCAGTGGAAGTGGGTGCGTGTGGTTGACGGTGGCCCCCTTTGTCTCCTGCCTGCCTCCCCTCAACCCCTTTGTGCAGGTATTGATGTTGAACAAGTGTCTGTCGTCATCAATTTTGACCTTCCTGTGGACAAGGACGGGAACCCAGACAATGAGACCTACCTGCATCGCATCGGGCGCACTGGCCGCTTTGGCAAGAGGGGTCTGGCAGTAAACATGGTTGACAGCAAGCACAGCATGAATATCCTCAACAGAATCCAGGAGCATTTTAGTGAGTCCCTGAGTTAGCTATGCCTGGAACCCTCTTCAGAGGGGAGCATGGGAGAGGGGAGGGTTCCTTTGTCCCTGAGGTGGGCTCTGAGATCCCTTCATAGCTGTCTCCACCTGGATGTTGTCAGGGAGAGCACCTGCACATTCAGGGCTCAGGCACTGGAGTACCAGAGCCCTGGCACCAAGCTAGGAGAACCTGACCACTTTCCTGGGAAGTCAGTATGAGTGACCAGGGACCTGTTGCCAGCTGCTCAGGCTCAGGAAGCTTGCTTTGTGCCTGGAGGAAGAATCATTGTCCCACAGCTAAGCGCTTCCCCAGACTACCTGTCTTGCTGTTTGTTCTAGATGACTTCTGTCTGTTGCATGCATTTCCATGGTCGTCCACGGTGGTCTTCCAATTTGTTTTTCCCTCAGATAAGAAGATAGAAAGATTGGACACAGATGATTTGGATGAGATCGAGAAAATAGCCAACTGAGAAGCTTCACCAGCGACTGGCGCCACCCTCAGCACTGTCCCTGCCTGGGAGCCTAGTGCTTTCATGGCAAAGGCCTTGACAGGCACCTCAAAGACCAAGGCCTGAGTAGAGACTACCTACCTCATTCAGAATCATGTTTGGACTTGACAAATTTGTGCAAAGAGTAAGGGGAAATCCAAGGAACAGTTTTGCATTTTAGAAAAAGTCCTAGCCTGGTGTGGTGGTGCACACCTTTAATCCCAGCACCTGAGAGGCAGAGGCAGGAGGATCTCAATTCCAGGCCAGCCAGATCTAGAGTTCCATGGTAGCCAGAGCTGCAGAGTGTGACCTTGTCTCAAAAAAAGTCTTCAGCTCTATCTCCCTTTAAAGCCACAGTTTTCTTTTATGGCAATATAGTTGCTGCTGGTGATGTTTGGGCCCAGAACTTGCTGCCCACTCTCTGGCTCCTTGTGTATGGACCAACCCTCCAGCCTTGAATAAATGACAGAGGCAAAAAAGGTTCAAAGAAGCTGGAAGAGCCCTGGCTGTAGCTCAGATACCTTTTATAGAATCAGTAGAGCCCTGAGTGCCCCACCCACCCATCCCTCTTGGTAAGCATCTTGGCTGCTGCTTCATCCTTCAGATTGGCAGACAAGATGGAAGTCAGCAAAATCACAGACTCAGGAAGATTGGCGTATCCGCCCTTAGAAGATGGGGCCTGTCTTTCCTCCTGTTCACTCCATCTGTTCTGTATCTGGCTCAATTGTTTGGTTCTAATCCATGGGATTTCATGCCAAGCAGCAATTTAGAAAGGAAGTTATGACCAAACAAAAACTTCATTATGCTGTTACTCCATACATTATATGAATGAGATGAGATAAATCAGTGATAACACATCATTTTCAGAAATTTTAAAGTAATTATGAGAAACATTTTACTAATCATGGTTTGTTATTTGTATTTTTCTGCTTCCTAGACTAATATATGCTCATTGAAAAGTGTGTATAATAGTGCTTTGTGTTTACTCAAGATGCACCATAGTCTCCCTGCTTGCTCAACATGTCCCAGTGCTTTTTTTCATTTTGCAGAAGTGTGAGCACTTCACACTATTTTATAGGCATTTTTTTGGAGGTTGCACCACATAAACATACATCTGTTTTACTCTGGAAGGTAGCTGACACCCTAATTTGTGGTCACCCTGGCATGTATTTCACCATCCTCCAGTGATAGTTTCAATAGTGCCAGAGTAATTAGCTCAGGACCTATCTTGGATCATGGTGAGAACTGCTCCTACATTCCTGGAGATAGGATTCTTGGGAAAGTGGGAACGTTTAAAGTCATAATTCACAATTTAAGCCTGCCCCAAAAGCTCTTACCAATTTGTTACTACAGCAATATAAAAAACATTTCACTTACTTAACAAATCTGTAATATCTCCTTTTTATTGTTATTTGAGTCTCACTGTGTAGCCCTAGATATCCTGGAACTCACTATGTAGATCAGGCTGCCCATGAACTCATAGAAATCAACCTGCTTCTGCGTCCTAAATACTGCAGTTTAAGGTATGTGCCACCATGCCTGACTTTACGTTGTCAGTTTTTAAACTTCGCCAAACCAGGAGCTGGAGAGGTGGCTTGACAGTTAAGAGCATGGGCTGTCCTTATAAAAGACTCTTGTTTGTTTTCCAGGGCCCACATTTGCGGTAGGTAGTTCACAACTGCCTATTACATCCAGTCCCAGGGGAAGCTGATGCCTCTGCTCTCTTTGGGCACCTGGTATCATGTGTACCCCACCCCCAGAGACATAATTACCTTTAATCCCAGCACTCTGGAGGCAAGAAGATCTCTTGAGTTCCCAGAACAGCCAGAACTACATGGCCTGTCTCAAAGACAAAACAGAAACCATCTTTCCTGTACAGTTAATTTGTGGGTCATACACATTTTTATGTTCATGTAGATCTTAAGGTAACTGGTATGTTGGTGCTTACCTGTAATTCTAGCCAGTGTAGTAGCTCCCGAGCCCAGAATTCATGAATTTAGTCTGTGCAACAGTAAGATCCCTTTTTTGGGAAACAAAAAGAACAACACCAAACATGCTTAGATGGTCTTTTGTATGTGAGAGGTTTTGGGTCCATAGAAGGGAAGTGTGTGACAGGGATGTAGATAATGGGCCAAAAGTTCCAGCCCTTGAATGAAGGTGAAAACGAAAGCAGGTGTGTGAGATCAATTCTAGGTCTACCTTGGGAAGACAGAAGGTTTGTCTGTGTGCGTGCGTGCGTGCGTGCGTGTGTATACAGCCATGTGAGCACTGTCAAGTTTCAGAAAGGGGGAAAGGGAGTGAGAAAGCAAGATGGAGCAATAGTTAAAACCTGCACTAACCCTAATCATGTCACTGAAAATGAAGAACATAAACTTAAAAACAAGGCAGATAGCCAGGCAGTGATGGCGCACACCTTTAATCCCAGCACTTCGGAGACAAAGGCAGGTGGATCTCTGTGAGTTCAAGGCAGCCTGGTCTTGGCAAGTTCTAGGACAGCCAGAGCCACACAAAAAACCCTGTCTTGGGGGGGTGGGGGTGGGGGAGACAAGACAGTCTATGAACTGGTAATGGAGCAATGGCTTTCATCCCAGGCCATAGCCAATTCTACAGCCACCCTCGTGTCAGTCCTGAAAGGCTTTCTCTGAATTAAACTGATGCAGCCTCTCTACATTGGTCTCCTATTCCAACAGAAAGGACAGTCCTCCATCCCTAGACTCAGAAGCCTTCATCATGACAGAAGAGTTAAATAACCAGGGTGCAAAGCCACACAGACCAGGATACCAAGGAAGAGCTATTAGTGTTTGGTTAAATGGCATAGCTCCTCAGCCTCCCAAGGACTATAGGAATGAGCAATAGCTGTAAAGAGTACTCTAACAAAATAGAATTCAAATAAAATTTTTTTTTTTTAAAAAGCCTTGCATTATAAGGGGAACCAGAAAGCATGGGGGGAAAATCCAACTACAAAACTTGCAATATCTAAGATATAACAGTATATTAAAAAGGATTCCTTGTAGGGGTTTTTCAGTAAAGTTCTGTGATCCGTTTGACATCTATATTAGTGACTAAAAGTACAGGCCCAACAGAACATTTTTCCCCAGTTAACCTCCTGAAATTTATTTAAGCCTTTATCCTAAGCATTATTTATCCTTAATGATATGCAAAGCCGAGGGAGGCACTATTTGCCCCCAGAGAACCACTCTTGTAAAACACCTTGTTGCACTGGCAGCAAGATGGGGGCCAGTGTAGTGTGATTGAGTCAGCAGAAAAATGCCAAAGAAAGGAGAACTCCAGAGAGGGGCTCTCCCCATGGTGAAGGTCAACTTTATGGGAGCCTCTAGTGGCTCATGTTTATAAAAGGACTTTCCAAGTGAGCCAGGAACTCTTTTACTCTTAGAGGAATCTGAAGAGGGAATAGTGAATTCATTTTTGCTCACTTTTTTCTTTTTTTTCTTTTGAGAAAGAGTCTCGTTGTAGCCCAGGCTGGCCTCAAACTTGCCATACAGCTGAGGTTAGTCTTTAACTAATTTTCCTACCTCAGCCTCCCAACTCCTGGGATTAAAGGCACATGCCACCATACCTGGTGCAATAAATTGCAATACTTATAGTCCTTTGGGGAACTTCAGAGAGCAAGAGCCCATGAACTAAGCTCATATAAGAGGGTATCAGAATTGCTTTGTTCTCCCGAACATCTTTACCATTATAGTGCCTCCTTAGATACACCTAAGACAGTAAAGCTCAGAACAGATGAGTGACTCCATGGGTTTTGTTTTGTTTTTGTTTTTTTTTTTTTTTTAATTCAGAAAAAGATAGGGGAGGAAAAAAATTAAATGTTTAAATAACTAGAAGAAAAGATCTGGGTGCTGGGACCTACCTCTTCCAGAATGGGGATTAATGGTTCAAACAAAACAAAAGGAGGAAGGGGAGGAAAAATAAATTATTCTCAATACTGTTTGGCATAATTGCATTGTTTTTCAGCTTCTCATCACAGCAGCTTCTTGAGAGAGCAGAGATGAGACAGGCAAGAACAGAACGCTGGTGCCTTGACTGCAAGATGGTTAGAGCCCTGAGAGGTTCTCCTGTAGCCCCACTCAGCGTAGCCCCTTTTTCTCTACCCAGTACATGCTGCTTTACCCCAACCCTCTAATACTCTCTCTTTGGGTGACTGTCCCCCAGCCAGGAGGCTGCTTGGTAATGTCAACTTAATTAAAAATGGGATATATTTATGTGGACACTGCAGGGAAGGGGGAGTACTTTCTGTGGCCTGAGACCATCACTGAAGCCCTTTCACCCACTGAATCTCAACCTTGACTTGGGTCGAGTCATGCAAGTAGCTTCCAGTTGTAACCCCTAATTCTTTACTCACCAGCCCGTTAGGGGCTGGAAAGTGGGTTAGAACAGGTGAGTTAAGCAGGGTAAAGATACAGACAGGAGGAGGCATGCATGGCAGCCACCAATCTGCTCCTCCCCAGCAAAGCTCCAGGCCATCTGCAAGGCCTGCAAAGAATTGTCAAGCAAACTTGGGCAGCCATCCCTGGCAGCTTCAGGGTAACTAAAGTATAAGCCCAAAGCAAATCCTACCCCCAAGCAAGAGGCTGCCTGCTCCTCTTTGGGGTGACAAAGAAAAAGGTACATGCACAGGCAGCTGGGCTCTCCTCTCCAGCCTGCTGTCCACTGTGCTGCTCTCGCCTTAGGGCCAAAGATATAGGGGCTGTGTGTGCCTGAGTGAGCAGCAGTGTCCCTCCCGGCGGTGTCATTTTGTCTCCAAATCAACAAGAGAGCTAGAGAGAAAGCCAGGGCCAAAGGTCAGACGCTGAGAAGGTGGTGGGGGACAGTAGAAGTGAGGGCACACGTGAGAGAAGCACCTTGCAAGTGACCTGGTGGAGCTTCCTACCCCTTGCTGACACTAGTTACTGAGTGAGGCCCTAGGGAAGTTCACCCAGCGGGGGGTGAATCTAACCCCCTACTACCTGGGGAGCCACAGAATGCCCTGGAGGTCTCACTTTGGCAGGCTTCACTCACCCATCCGGGCCTAACCGAGAAATCAGCAGTCTAAGGCGCTCCTGCCAGGACCAGAACTGGCCTCTTAAAAGGTGGAAAAGAAACGCTTATCCAAAGCGGGGGGGGGGGGGGGGGCACCGGGCCCCCGCCGCCTCCCAAGGCCATGATTGGTGGAGACAGCGGCGCCGGAAGTTCTCCTTGAGTCGCATGATTGGCTGAGAAAGAGAAGCTCCGCCCAACGGTAGCACTGATTGGTTGCTGGGATCAGTGCAGAGTCTGATTGGTGGGCGACAGCCTGTGCTCGCTGGACCAGGCTTCACTGGTCCTGATGTGCCCTGGGCAGCTCAGTTCCCTCGGTAGACCTCGATCTTGCTGGCCTTGGCCAGCATGTCAATGATGTGGGCCTCGAAGTCGGCGTCATGCACGCCTGTCTTCCGGAACTCGCCCGCATACCGGTTGTTCTCCCAGTAGTGGTGCCAATTGCCTCGGCTGTCAGCCCCGAACCCATACACGTTCACCTGTGGGGAGGGTGACACAGGGGTCACTGGGAGTCAGGGACCTTGGTGTGGTAGTAAACCCAAGCCAGACCTAAGAACACTGACTCAGAAGGGCTGCTGCCTCTTGTGTCTTTCTCATTTGTTTCTTGCTCTTTTACAACAGGGTGCTATGTGGCCCAGGTTGGCCTCAAACGGCTCCTGGCTCAGCTGCTCCATAGCTGAGTTTACAAGTGCCACCATGACACAGCTATAATTTTAACTTTTTTGTTTCTTTGTTTTTTGAGACGGGGTTTCTCTGTGGCTTTGGAAGCTGTCCTGGAACTAGCTCTTGTATTAAATTTAACTTTTTAACGAAGTAATTTTATTATTTATTTAGGTTTTCGAGACAGGGTTTCTCTGTGTTATCCTGGCTGTCCTGGAACTCACTCTGTACACTAGGTTGGCATCAAACTCAGAGAGATCTGCCAGCCTCTGCCTCCTGAGCGCTGAGATTAAAGGTGTGCGCCACCATGCCCAACTAAGTAATTTTTTTTAGTAAAGTAAAAAAGGTAATAAAGATTTAGAAATGCAAATATACTGGAATATACTGTTTATAGTACAGATATGAGAAAACCTAACCCACACCACTGTTACTTCTCTAGACTGTCACAAACTACCTACCTCATCACACACATGTAGTGCAAAGAAGAGCACCAGCATTCCTGTGGAAGGGTACCGTCCATGATGCTCTGTCCACCTGTCATGGATGTACTTGAAGAAGGCTGGGTTGTAAATCTGGACCTGCGAGGAGAATAAGAGGCACATGAAGGGTTTGGAAGCCTAGAGATTCCAGTCAGGCTCTGAGGAGCTTCTAACAATTCCTCCGTATACATGGGTTTTCCTAGGTTCCTGTGGTCAGTGCTGGAGTCAGGAATAATAGCAGATGCAGATTTTGACGGTCTTGGAAGCACACTATGCAATTCCTGAGCCACAGGACTAGACACACCTTGAGTAAGCCAGCATCAAAAGAGCAGGAGGCAGGGAGCTTACCTTTTCTTTGTCCACTCGAAGGAAGGACTTCACTGGAGCATAGGTGCTGCAAGACAGAAAACAAAACAAAAAAACCCTTTCAGATGGCTCTCCAGGACCCAGCAAGACATCTGCTCCTTATGACCAAATGGTGACAGACTTACAATTTCTAGACTGATCTATTTCCATTGCATGTTCATTACTGCAGGACCTTGATCAGAAACCTTCCATGGCTTTCAGGATAAAACTGTGATCATTTAGTCAAGCCTCTGGACCTCTAATCTCAAGCTTTCTTCCCCCAAACTGCTGTGGAACTCTACAATTGGATTAGCTACCATCTCAAACTCATCATGTGTCCTGGCTAACTTTTATTCATCGACACAAGCTAGAAGCATCTGAGAGGAGGGATATAAGTCGAGAAAACATCTCCATAAGATTGGGCTATAGGGCATTTTCTCAACTAGTGATTGATGTAAGAAGGCCCAGCCCATTGTGGGTGATGCCACCCCTTGGCTGGTAGTCCTAGGTTTTACAAGAAATCCCAGCACTCAGGAGGTAGAGGCAGACAGATCTCTGTGAGTTCGAGACCAACCTGGTCTACTGAGTGAGTTCCAGGACAGCCTCCAAAAGCTACAGAGAAACCCTGTCTTGAAAAACAAAAAAGTAAAGTTGAGGCAGAGTAGACCAAATGGTTATTCAGGGCTGGGATAAGATGATTGGGTTATTGGGAGTATTACTATTTCAAAGACCTTTAGAGCATAAAGACATTCTAAAATTGTCATGTTTACAGCATTCTGAATTCATCAAAATATTATTAATGTTTAATTTCATTTATTTATTTGTGTGCTGGGATACATGAGCACCACAGCATACATGTCAGACGACAACTTGCAAGAATGAGTTCTCTCCTTCTACCATGTGGGTCTTGGGAACTGAACACGGGTGTCATGTTCACACCAATTCTGACCTACTCAGGTACAAGGCACACATGTGGTTAATATATATATATATATATATATATATATATATATGTGCAGGCAAACAGTCATCCTTCTAAAATAAACACATCTGTATTTTTGGTTTTGTTTTTAAGAATCAGTAGTGGCATATCCCTGTACCCAAGAATTGTGGAGGTGGAGGCAGGAAAATTAATTCAAAACCAGCCTTGGCTATATGAGACTCTGCTTCAAGAAACACACACACACACACACACACACACACACACAGAGAGAGAGAGAGAGAGAGAGAAAAAGCATGGGGCTGGAGAGATGGCTCAGTGGTTAAAAATGTTTGCTCCTTTTCAGAGGAGCCACCTTAAGTTCTTAGATGCACATGGCATTCCCAAACCACCTGTAACTCCAGTTCCAGGGGGATCTGATGCTGTCTTTCAACCTCCCTGGGCTCCTGCATTCATGTGGTGCACATACATACACTTAAACAAATAAATACACACTTAAAAAAAAAAACAAGTTGGGCGGAGGTAGTGCACGCCTTTAGTCCCAGCACTCAGGAGGCAGAGGCAGGCGGATCTCTGTGAGTTCCGAGCCCAGCCTAGTCTACAAGAGCTAGTTCCAGGACAGCCTCCAAAGCCACAGAGAAACTCTGTCTCGAGAAAAAAGAAAAAGAAAAAGAAAAAGAGACCAACAAAACCCATCAAACCTTTGGTAACAGGCCTTGTGATACAGACCTGTAATCCCAGCTACTAGGGAAGCTGAGGCAGAAGGAACACAAATTCAAGTTCTGCTTCAGTTCAGAGCAAGCTTAAAGCCAGTTTTATCCACTTGTCAAGACCTCCTCTCAAAGAACAGCAATAACAAACCCCTCAGTGAAATGGATTGCCCAGGGTTCCTAGCTGTGACAGAATTATGATCCCAGAGACAGTTACCAGAAAAAAAGAGCTCCACAGCCCAGAGCTGCCTCCTGTAGAGACCAACACAAACCAGATGTTTTCAAGTTTTTTGCCACCAGTACACCAAGTAGCACCAAGTAGGAAGAGACACAGAATAAGCTGTGCCCTCATCTAACCCACTGTTTTGGGCCCTCTCTTCCCACTAATTCAATTAGAGAATATTTTGAACTCATCCAGCAAAGATGCTCACAATCGGATCTGTCCTGTAGAGAGGGCGCTGGCAATCCACATTAGGTCCAGGGCCTTGAAGGGTACCAGCACGAAGCTGACATTGGCAGGCAGGTTCTTGGCACTCTCGGGGTACATGAAATGGTGGGTTGTTCGGCTGCCAACATCCTTCTCAAAGCCCACAGTTGGTGCCTGATTCATCCTGGAGAACAAAAGAGGGTGTTATGAAAAGCCAACTACCATGGAAAGTGGTATATGTGTTTTAGAGGATAATTAAGCACTCACCAAAAATGAAAATGGAAGCTGGACATGATGGCTCATGCCTATAGTCCCAGCATTTAAGAAGCTGAGGCAGGAGGATTGCCACACATTTGAGGCCATCCTGGGCTACAGAGTGACACCTGTCTCAAAATTTATAAAATGTTTTTAATTTAATTTTATTATTATTATTATTATTATTATTATTATTATTATTATCATCAT